GTTTACACTACTCACACTTGGATAGTCTGTTTTTGCTGTTGGTGCACGCAGACTTTCTACGATCTTCCCAGGTAAGTTATCAAGCTAATCGGAGAGCTTTTTGATCAATGAAGTGTCTAAAATTTAAGCCAGAATTTGACGAGAAATGAAGAAAGCAGTGAGAAAAGGTATTATTACACATGATTAAGCAAGTATTCGATGTTAGGAAAACAGAAACAAGGATTGTGCATAATAATAACGAAAAAGGGAGGTATTAGTACAGACAGGATCGTTAGCATCACAAAGAGTGGAGAGAAGTAGATCCATGAATGCTCTGCATAACAAAAGAGGGAGATACTAGTACAGACTGAAACGTTAGTATCACAAAGAATGGAGAGAAGTAGATCCACGAATGCTCCAATAAGACTATGTTGCAGTCCATATTCTAGTCGTGTGTACCCTATGTACACACTACACCATGTCCCCAAGGCCGAGTCACAAAGCCGTTACCTGGCTGCGTGTTTAGTTCAAGCAATGCGTTATCCCACTTCTCTTTTTGACGTAACCAGTAATCTTCCTGTCGCTCCAGTGTGTTTCTCTCTCCTTGGTATTTTTCCGCTACACCATCCCTCAGTTCATCTAACCTGTTCAGTTTCTTGTTAGCTCGCTTTGCATGTAAGAGGCATCCATTTTGACAAAGTGAAGTGTTTGTAGCGCGTGATGTGATCGATCTAATATACTAGGAAACGGTTACTATTACGGGCATTATTTCGAAAATGTTGACACGTGACATGTAAATCCGCTCATGATTTGAATGTAAGGCGTTAATTGGTGCCCATAACTTGCGGAATGCAACATAACAATTTCAACGTACTATCGTTTTCGAGACCTGCACATTTAAAACATTTAAAGTGGAACAAAACTACTTTTGTATTTTCAAAGAAAGTGCTGAGCAGAATCTGCGAAGAGTGGTTGCCAACTTCTTACTTCCCAGCATTTATTTCCTTGACGGGCCTGACATCAGAAGTGGTGGCAAAGGCATACCGAGAGCAGCTCGCGGAAGCTATAACTCTCTGTACAGCAAAGCACATGAGAATCAACAAACTTAAACGTGTATCAAGAACCTTTAACGCAATTACTAAGTCCCGTAAAGTGAGTATTGCGTCAACTATTATTCCGTCGTTGTGCGCTTGGCACGGAGCTTATTAATATTAATGAAATTTGATTATATTTTTATATCCGACTTTGATAACACATTCAAAATTCTTTATTACTATTACTATAAGATTTTCTAATGACCAAAATAAATTTACGTTCATTGTTTAGGCCGCAATTTTTAGAAGACTATATTAATATGCGCAAGAGGAGAAAAGAGTGAGTTTCCATCAAGTATACAGCAGTTGCGTTTTGTGTTATTATACAATATAACTGAAGTATAATTTATTATAGCGACATGAAATGAGGAGTCGATAAACGACAGACTCATAGAGAAAAATCTGTCAGACATTATTTTCAGATGTGTAAGTAAAACGTTTCGATGACGGTTCATTTAATAACTTACCTATGATTGCAATTTTAAATGTGAGAGCGCATATCAAGGTATCAGTGATAGACTCTTTCAATGATAAGTTTTATAAAGCTTACGAAATTATGGATATTGAAATACCATTGAAGCCTGCGGGTCGACAGGAAATAAAAGATATTATAAGAAAAGCACTTCGACTGAAAACGTTATGTGTGAAGTGGAAAAAGTGTTGACTGAAAGCGAATCTCTATCAGTCGATGAAAGTAACGATGCATTAGAGAGCATGTTCTATAGCATCAACGACCCATACTCCACATAAACATAAAAAACGATAACTGATGAGTCTACCTGAAAGTTATATCTCCTATTTTCTGACATTTACACATACTAATATATCTTTCCCCTGTCCGGCTATAATCCAAGGTCCAACAATGTTGCAATGTGTCCGCATACATAAGATACCCCGCTCCTACTCCCCTCACATCAAATGCTTGCTGATTACTCTTCTCTACACATATAATAATGAATTATGAATTAGCCGCAGGCATCCTGGATCGTGAATCTGTAGTATGCTAAGCGTAGCTTGCCTTCGAATCGGGTAAAGCGAAACACCCTGAGTACGTCATACACTGCATTTGATTTACAATGACTAAGTTTAACGCTAATATGACTGGCAATTGGTGATTTGGTTTTTGGACTTGGAAATTGCTGTCTGATTTATTTTCTGACTTAACGTGTGGCCTGATTTACGGCTTGATCGATGTCTCGACGTGAATTGATTCGTTGAATTTGTGGTCTGATTTTGTGGCCTGATTTTTTAATGTATCGAGATCAACTGAAGCAAATCAATTAATATTAATTAATATTAAGGATATAATTAGGAAATTGGGATTATATGGAACTCAAATAAGGAAACTGACAATTGAACTATAAGATAAAATATTCACTATCGCAAGGTTATAAATGAATTGCCTGAACCATAATCATACATTATTAGCGATTACATTTATGATTCACATGTCTATAGATGAATATTCCCGATTCGATCACTATTCCTTCTAAGGTTTAGGGCCTAACCCTACTATCAAAAAAAACAACACGCCAGCCTGAAAGGAAGGCCCACATCTTCTAAAAATGTTTATCATCAATAGTTTATAACAAAAGTTTTAAGTCGTGGGTAGATAACAATGCAGAAGGGAAAGGATAATGAGATAAATAATAGTATTTAGACACATAATTGCTTTGGGTCCAACGCTCAAGCTATTTTGCAAGAAAACCCTAGTCAGTAATGACTGCTTAGATTGATGTTTTGTCAGAGAACATGTAACTCTGTTCGTTGTTACTAGTTCAGTGTATTGCAAAGCACACACTTTTGCTAAAGCGTTGATATCTACGCATGAGACAGAAATAATGAATAATATCAGCTAGCGTAATCGCAAAATTATTCTTCCGCTTGCGGATGTTGGGTCCGAAAGCAAGAATGCATGACATAATGTTTTTTATAGTCGAATTCTTGGTTCATTCAAAAAAATTACATTTTCGGATTGGGGCTGGTTAACTGCGCTTAGACCCTTACTAATGTAACAATGGTACTCGTCAAAAAATCATCTTATCCTCTCTCCTTCCAATTTTGCTATGTTACACACTCAATCATACTCTGCTTCGCCATTCCCGTTTTATGACTTGCATGTCACCTTATATTCGGCAAGTAACTGGCCAGACGGACCGTTCAACAATAAAAAGATCGGAAACATGACCTTCCGAGCAATAATTAATATCTGATATCATAACGACAAATACAACTCACTCCGACTTTACCGAATAACGAGGACCAATAACTAGCCACCCTGGTTATCACAAAAACATTTTTTGAGAATTTACGTACTCAAATATTAATTGAATTTTAAACATTTCGTTTAAGCGAACGTTTGGGGATATTTACTGCTTTAGACGATAGTACAGCAAAAGAACAAGAGATTCATCCAATACATCATTACACCACCTTCCCCACTGAAATATACTGGAATTGTATATAACCCCTCTACAATTACACGGCTCGGCTGAAACTGTCAATTTTCCAGAACCTTCAAGAACATGCCATCATTACAACTTCTGACGCATCTTTCGGATGACTTTTGCCAGATTCTGGAACAAATGGAAGAATACAACACCATGATATTCGTAGGCCAAGAATCGGATATCCGCGTGTTCCATGCGCATTCGATTGTTTTGAAGGCTCGATCGGAATATTTTCGTGCCGCATTTGCGAAAGATTGGGCAAAAAAAGATGGACGGTTTTATTGTTTTCGTAAACCTAACATATCACCGGCTGCCTTTGAAATGATATTGAAGTGAGTGTGTCGGCGACGGGAGAGTGGAGTAGACGAGATTAGCTAACAAAAATTGATGAGCTTGTTGATAAGGGAGTGGAAACACATGACAGAAGACGGTCAGAATGTGCTATATACAGACTGTTAAGAAGCCCGTCGATTGCAAATCATCGGTATCTAGTATACTGATCGATATCTCCGTGACGTCAAAATTGTGTCGGTTATAGCTTACTTACATACCCTCTACTTCAATACAGGTATTTATATACGGCAAAGATCGAAGTGGAAGACAAGGACGTAACATATCTCTTGGATGTATTGGTGGCAGCAGATGAACTGTTGCTCACCGAAATGACAGATTGTATCGAATCCTATCTCCTCCAAAACAAGGCTGAATGGCTACGGCAGAACTATTTCGCTCTATGGTCTAAAACAAAACAGGCTGAATTCTGCGGCAAATTACAAGAATGTTGCAAGAAAACAGTATGTCACGATCCACGATACCTATTCGAATCGGATGACTTTTTGTCTCTCGACGAGGAGCTCCTGATCTCTTTCCTGCAAATGGATGAAATGCAGATAGACGAAATCGATGTGTGGAAATATGTGTTGAAATGGGGGTGCAGACGTATCGAAAAGGAGAGCGAGAACGTTCATGAATGGACAGCTGAAGATTTTGCTGCATTGGCCGATAAGCTGCAACCATTTTTCAATCACATACGATGGCATTACATGTTGTCGTCCGACTTTTATGATAAAGTGTGGCCATTCAGACAGATACTACCCGAACCTCTGTTAAACGACATTTTACAAAGCCACTTTGATCCGGAAGCGGCGTTTTCGTCAGCGGTAAGCCTACCGCGTCGGATTCCATTCGAATCGGAAGTCATTACAAGCGAGCAAGTGTCACATATAGCCGCATGGATAGATCGTACAGACGAATCGTATAGAGAGTACGAGTGTCCTTATACGCTGCATTTGTTGTTAAGGGGAAGTAGAGATGGATTTGATGCAGAGACATTTCACGATCTGTGCGATGAGAAGGGCCCAACAATAGTAGCGGTAAAAGTGCGAAATTCGGGACAGATTATCGGAGGGTATAATCCCATACAATGGGTTGTCGGTAGCGGTCACATTGCTACTTCTGACAGTTTCATATTCTCATTTCCCTCATTTGGCGTAGTTACCGGAGCGCGAATGTCTAGGCCTCATCGGTCTAATTATGCTATCCGATTAAACGAAAGGACTCATGGAGCATGCTTCGGGGACAAGGATCTCTGGATGAGTAACGCCTTTAATGAGGATGAAAGCTGTTCTTGTCAACAAGATGATTATTCGGAAGCCATTACGTCAATGACAAAATTCTCTGCCGAAGAATATGAGGTGTTTCAAGTTGTAAAAAGAAAAATCATGAAGAGCGTTGATGAGTCGTGACGTACTACAAAGGTGTTGTGTATACGTGTGCCGCACACAAATATTGTCATTTTGAGGCCAGTAGAAAAGTAAA